GAGAAGTCAGACTGAATGTTGAAATGAGGGTCGTGGGTCTATGAGGCGGCGTCTTGGGGCTCAATGTTGGAGTCTCATCCTGCTGATATCCCCTTTTCCTTCATCAATCCTTTTCCCCTCCTCCTACCACTCACGTATGTGGGAGAGATGTAAATATTGTAAACATTCAGTACAGTAGACCTCAAATTTGTTGAAGAGAAATGTATAATAAAGTATTTTTGATTTTATAACCTAACCTAACCTAACCTGATTAAAACTAATTATAGGCACGACACTGGCCAGAAAGGGAGTTATCGTAATCCAATAGTAATACAGTTGGGAGAGTTTATACCAGCCCGATCGCTGCCGTGTACTGTACTCATTTCTTTAAAAGTTAATATACTGACTGTCAAACATATTTAAAGTTAACAAAGTCACTGTAGAACTGAACGATTCTCCAGGCGGGTTGAAGTGCCATTACTTTCCAGTCAAATATTTAAGAAGTAGAAAAACTGGAAAGAATTAGGAGATGTTGCAACTTCCACTTCTTGAGGAGTAGCATTTCAAGTTGTCACCCTGGCTCGAGGGAGTACAAACTGTCTAAATTTAAAAGTTCGCACGACGACGGAGAACAACCTTGCTGCCTCGAGCGTGTTCTTTTCCCATCCCTTAGGTACAGTCTCTGCTGTAGAGGGACACCTCAATCATGGAATGAAAAATCCACATCAACAAAACACCGCGTATTTTCGAAAGCCAGTGGCGCACCCACTCTTTATTTTGACAGAACAAAATGAATACTTTGTGTTATTGCTTTTGTTTGACGACTTTCTTACTCAAATTAGTTGCTTGCTTTAAAAAATAAAATAAATGAAAATCATCATTGAGTTGAATAGCCTCAGGTGTGATTTTGACTATTATAAGTTCACAAAATCACGACACGTGCTCCGCTATATAATAATTTTCTCAAGAAGGAACCTTCAAATAATCCTGCTTGAGGAAGTTTTTGTATAGCGAAACAAGTGTAGCAATTGTGTGAACCTACCATAATATGGATCTCAATGAACTATATCGGTAAGTTATTTCACTATATAAAAATCAGCTAGTTTGAATTATATCGATACTACGTCAAAAATATCATCCATTAGTAGAATAGCTATCCATCTATCAAAATGTTTTTGACGTTTTACCCTATTTTGTGGTGATTGGTTTATGATGAACGGTGATCAATAAAACTGCTAATAACAACTTCATTTTCACTCAAAAAATACAGTTCTTAACATGTAAGAAGTTAAAATTTCTAATTTCTATTAGATCGCTGATACATTCTCCAGTTAGAACTCTTGGGTTAAATGGGTTGAAAAATATTGAAAACAGCTGTTTCATGAACAGTATAATCCAATGTTTATCAAACACGAGATGGTTGCTGGAATATTTAAAAGAGGATACATACATGGAAGATATCAATACTAGTAGTTCTAGTATGAAAGATGTTTTAATCAAAGCGTTTCCAGAAGTTATCAAGGAATTGTGATCAGAAGATTTATCTGTAATTAATACGATCTACTTTGTAAGTCAGATTCAAAGATTTGCCCCTCGATTCAGGGGTTTTGTCCATCAAGACGCCCAGGAATTGTTTCGATAAATTTTAGAAGGTTTACATGAGAACCTCAACAGAATTACTGAGAAACCTGAACCGATCTTAACGGAGATTGACGAGAAATTGAGTGACACCGTAAAAGCACAAGAGTTCTGGCTGAGATATTTGAATATGAACAACTCTAAGAATCTAGACAATTTCGTTGGTCAATTAAAATCCATTATGAAGTGCACACACTGTGGACACTCATCAGTAACCTTCGATCCTTTCTGGGATTTGTCTCTCCGCATACCACAGTTTCTTGGATTCCTTTACAAGAGAGAAAACTCTGAATGGAGATGAAAAACCGACGTGTTCGAGGTGCAAGGAAATGAGAAAATGTACAAAGTCCCTATCAATCTATAAGTTTCTTCGTATTTTAGTAATTCATTTGAAATTATTTATGGACGGGAGGAAACGAAACAGCACCTTTGTATTTCATGATTGTCACAATAAATTATTTCAACTGAACGTCAAAAGTATTTTGATCCATAACAAAAAAACAAACATGCAGTGCATACCTCATTTCAAAAGTTTTTCAATTCTGTATCTAACGCTCTGACTTTTTTAATATTATAACGAAGAGCGATGTCACAAAAAATTATAAAATGTTTTAAATTCATTTCAAATAATATTAGAACTGCTCATCATGAACTTGCATACAGTGATATAAATGAGTTCTTGTTACCTCCTTCACATTCAGTTGTTACTAGCCTATAACACCTAGAATATTCTTCTCCTAAATTATCTACAGTGGTTGACTGTGTCTCATAGACCTTTGATTTCAACTATTCCAAGAAGAAGTCCAGTAAAGTCAAATCGGGAGATCTGGGTGGACACTCTGTAGAATTTCTATTTCCAAATCATCTGAAAATTATTGTTCTACTCAATGAGGTGGAGTCCCATCTTGTTGAGAAACTACTCCATTCTGCGGTAGAGAATCTAAGTGGATGCTTGACATAACTTGATTATTCAGCGAATTTGAATATCGTTTGTTATTTAGGTTTGCTTCCAAAAAGAATGGTCCAATAATATGATTACCCGAAATTTCTGGGATATCAGGTGTAATTTTGGCGTGCCACATTGGAATTCCAATCTGTATTGAAATTAACTCGCCCCTCCAGAGAAAAAGGTACACATTCGGATAAATGAAACATGTGTTTCATAACAAAGCCGGATAACGGTTGACGCGTTCCCAGAGAATCCCACAAAAACTATTTCGTCGAAATCATCTTCATTCAATTCAAAAGTCATGTTGATTTCATAATGGTGGAATCTGTGTTGATGAAAAATTAAGAAAACGTTTTCACGACTCACTCCTGGAAAACAGAGACTGCGTATTTTTCATCAAGATGAGCATATAACTTCAACATTAATACCTTCGTTATTGACTATTCCTGAACGAATATGTTGTTGTTATTAACGTTACCAGTTTTCATGGATTCATGGAAAGGCATAGTACAAATCCACTGTTTCAATAATTCGAGTTCGAACTGAGTCGAAAGTCACTATTTAGGAATAACTTCGACATAAATATCAAAAACTTCAGCAATAACTAGATGATTGAATTGAAAAAAAGAAATTTTCCACCGTGAGTGGAAAATTATTATCATGAGTATTATATATCAGTGCTCAGTTTGAGCAGCTCACATAGTGAAATTATGTGTTCAATTTGACCTTCTAGTTTGAAATTGAATGAGAACTGGAAGATACTTTCAATTATCGTTGGAATGTCAAAAATTGTTATAATGTTGGATACATGTGTCCTAGTTAACTTTAGTTTAGAATTGAGTGAAAATTGATAAAACAAACATTTTTTATGGCTTACTTCCTCGTACTTCTCGTACTAATTCATTGACAATCGTGTTCTTTTGATACTAAATAATTCCATATGATTGGCACCAAACAATAAATTTTATTGTTTCCGGGGTAAACCTTATAATTTCTAAAATGTGTTTCCTTTGAAAGGAAATGTGGCAATCAACTTCTCATAATGCCAAGTATGGCAATATCTTCTCCTCTAAAGTTCAAGATTTCATTTATAATATGCGGCACCTCAAGAGCATCCTCTCTGGCGACAGCAATATTTTCTCCTTCCTTAACAAGGAAAGGCAACAGGTCAAGATTTGTAACGTTCCTAGTATTTTAATATTAAAAGCTGAGAACTCATATTTTCCGCAGTATTTTTCAAATTACGTTCGTACAGCCAGACGAGGACTCTCAAACGGAGATAAATAAAAATGTTCATCTAAAAACCGGTAACTGGAATGGGCAAAGCATGCAATTATGTTCTCCATCTCTGTTTGGTACGTATTCGAATTAATGTTGACAGTAATGGTACGCGGATTCAGTTTACGAGTTTCCGTAGAGTTTCTGAGAGAAAAATCAGATGACTTTTATTTATATAT